AAATATAGAAAAAAAAAAAACCAAAAACCAAAAAACAGGACTGACATGAGGGCCTTGGAGAAAACTAGGAAAAGAGAGGATAGATAATGAACACTGCATTGGAACAGATGAAGGAAAGAACTGTTTAAATGGAATATAAGATTAGGCATTATTTGTATGACAACAGTCCATAATAAGAGGTACATAACAAAGTAGAGAAGGAAACTGTGCAGCAATAAATATTTTTTTAAAAAAGTGAAGCGAAGCAGATAGTGGCAAGAAGCTGCACTGTAATCCCAGAGGCACGCGGTTGGAATCCACCAGATGCTCTGCTGGATAAGGAGGAACAAACCTCTCATGTACCAGTCGGATCCAATTTGATGGTACTCATACAATAACAAAAAATTAAAAAAAAAAAATTTGAAAAAGTGAAGGAGTATTTGGGAGGGAAATGTGAAAAAAATAATGAATGAAAATCCAACTTTTCTATAAACTTTACTTAAAATCACATTAGAACCTTACCTGGTTTTCTTCAGTCTGTGCTACATCAAACCAACACCAAACAAGAACATTTCTAAACCTTTCCCACAAAGTGGGTATTTAATGTTACACTTAGAATGCAACTAAGTTATTGACAAGGAAAAAAGTTCTGTTACATTCCTTCAAGTCAGATGTGAGTTATCTACAAAAGGCACAAATGCCTGATTCATGACTCCAACGCCCTGGGTCATGTCTCAGGTCACAGGCCAGTGGTTTCCACACGACACCCAGATGGACGCCCTCACAGCAGAGTCTTAATCCCAAGGTAGCCATCAGCTTTAGGAGCCGAATCACATTTAGCTTTAAGGCCCTAAGGAAATGATGAGTGGTCAAAACTATTAATTCTGGAGACAGGACACTATCTGCACATGTCACAACAAATGAGACTTTTCAAGAACAAGTAATACCCCTTAAGATGAATTATATGTGTCTTCTTATTTTCTTTTAAATTTTATTATTTTGTGTGCGTGTACCGTCAAATCAGATCTGACTGGTACAGGAGGATATTGCGCCTCCTTCTCTGGCAGAGCATCTGGTGGATTCGAACCGTGTTCCTCTGGGATTGCAGTGCAGCTTCTTGCCACTAGGCCACCAGAGCTCCCCGTGTCTTCTTATTTTCCTGCACCTTAACTTCAAAATGGAAACTGGTCCCAAATCTTACACGCAACTATCTTACAAAATATTCAAAAGGCATGCTTTTAACGTATTCTGTAAATCAATAAAGTCTTAAAGTTTCCCAAAAAAAGACACCATAAGACCCTTCGAGAGACTCCAAGAGAAGAGAGTTTTAAAGCGCTGTGGAGATGGAGGCATGTCCACACAGGGCTGCCGGGTTGGTTCACCTATCCCAGCCTTGTGATGGGTCTCACGGGGTGCATAACACTGCTTAAGTGATGCTGTTAGAACACAGCAAACAGCAAGTGCAAGGAAGCATTAAGCACATCTGGAGAGTAGGTTTAATGCTATATGGACAACAGCTAACCTAGAGGAGCAGTCTCAAGGCTGGGCTTCATAGAATAGCCTCGCTCTGAGAACCAAACATAAATAAGAACCTATCTAAACAGACGTTTTCTTATGGGGAGGGGGAAGAAAATGTGCTACGATTAAGAAGGAAAAAAAAAAATTCCCAGAAACATTAGGATCATGGGTAATGACAACCCCCAAACAACTTGTCCCTGAAACAATACTAGAACCCCGGAAAGAAAGCAAAAGCCACACAGTTTCAACTTGAGAACATGTGTTACATGACAAAGCCAGGAAGGTAGCCATTTGCTGGATGTTATGTAGAAGAGCACACAACTGTGGAGTCCAAGCTTTGCCATGAACTGCACTAGCCTTGAGCAAACCAGGTGCCTCTCTGGCCCTCCCTGTCTTCATCGAAAAAATAAAAGTACCAGAAACAACATGATCTGAGTGTGTTCCCAGTACGTGACTGGCATATCCCCACCACAGGTGGCTGTTTTGGAAGACCCATTCTCAGTCAATAAAGAACACAGCTCACTCAAGTGTTTGCTGAAGCAGCAAACAATCATTGCTGGCGAGGTTGTGGGGAGACTGGACCCCTTATTCACTGCTGGTGGGAGTGTAAAATGGTAAAACCACTATGAAAGGCAGTTTAGTGTTTTCTTAAAAAGTTGGAAATTTGACTTAGCAATGCCAGTACTGGAAATATACCCTAAAGAAACCATAACTGCCATCTATACACACACACACACACGCACACGCACACGCGCGCACACACACACACACACACACACACATTCATGTTTACTGCTGCATTATTTATAAGAGTAAAGAAATGGAAGCAATCCAAGTGCCCATCAACAAATGAATGGATAGAAAAACTATAGTATATTCATACAATGGAATACTACATAGCACTGAAAAACAATGAGCTCGTAAAACATTATACAACATGACAGACGCTGGAGGACATTATGTTGAGTGAAACATCTCCATCTTAAAAGGACAAATACTGCACAGCACCACTGTTATAAAGCAGGTCTGACATGGAAGGTTGGGAGGAGACTAGGACAAGAGTGGATAGATAATGACCACTGAATTAGGCAGATTAAGGAAAGGACTGCCTAAAGAGACATGATTACACATTATACGTACAAGAGCCCAGGATAAGAGGTATATCATCTCAAAGAGAAATGGCAGGCAAGGGAGAGGTAAGTAATTATGTAACAATGAATGAATGTTTTAAAAAAACATGTGAACTGGGGAGAAGGAAGGAGGATAAAATGTGCAATAACAAATGTATGGAAAAATCTAACTTCTCTACAAACGTTAAAATCACAACTAAAACTTTTTTTTTAAAAAAATATGTGCCGAGAAGTCATCTTGCTGCAACATGCAAACACAAAGGTCAGAAGCATTGTCTCAAGCTGTCCCCGAGTAGCAACAACCTGCCCCTCAGAAACTACCTAGGAAAAAAAATGAGGTCTTTCCACAAGGCCTCTTGAGAGTGAGGAAAGGCTACTGCTATGAATCTGGCACCAGAAACAATCTACTCCATTTTAAAGAAATCAACAAAACCTCCAAGATTATAAACTCATTACATATGGTGAAGATACTCTCCTGCTTCTAAGAGACAAACAACACTGTCAGTGCATTACAGTTACAGAGGGGAAAAAGAGAAAACAGGACCTTCTAGCTGTCAGTCTCCAGTCAACAAGGTCAGGTCACTTTACTTAACAGAGCCCCCCAGCCCCTCAATATTGGTCCTCAGAGAAGACAGCAGAAGATGCCTGGCAAGCTTTACTTCACCAAAGAGAGGAGCCAAGATTGGCTTTATTCTTGACAGCAAACCCTCCACACACATACTGAAAGGCAGCAGTACTATGTTTAATCTCCAGCTCTGACAGCCCATAAGTTCCCAACCGTGGAGATGTGGCCACATCTGGATGTACCCAGCTGGTTAGATACCCACATGCAGTGAGGAGGAGGGACCAGAGCTATTGCTAAGCAACGTACAACATACAAGACTGCCCCACCTTCACCCTAAGTCCCTCCCAACAATTCTAGGATGCATTATCACCACCTCCAGTTTTCAGAAAAGGACAGTGAAGGACTGGGAGGTTGCACCTGCAAAGATCACACTGACTAGGGGTGTGTGGGGAACCTAGGCTCGAGAGTCCATTCTGAGTCAGCTCTGGTGGACCAGCTCTGGTGGACCAGCCCTAGACGCAGCATGAATGACGGCTCTGAGGACTTGGGTCCCAACAGTCTGTCAAAGGCACAACAGCACCAATGACCACAAATGCAGGTGACCACTGTCCTGTGCCTTTGCCCCCGCTCCTGGGGGATATTCTTTCTTCCAGAGAGCAACCCAGCCCACCAGCATTTCACTCCCACCTCAGGTTCTACTCCAAGCCTGTTTTCAGAGCAAAACCTCCAGCCTTGCTCACGCTTTTAATGACTTCCAGGGCTTAAGTCTCCTTTTATTACTACTACAGATCTCAAATGAACATGGAAACAGCATGTTCACAAAACAAACTCACCTGATTCGACTGTCCAGAAAGGTAGGGTTCAAAGTCACTGTCGTGAACAGTATCCTTCTGGTGCAATGAACCATTTTGTACTAGAACGACAAGTTACAAATTATTATCGTTGCCCTTTAAACAATCACTTCTAACACGGGCATCAAAGGCACAAGCTCATTTTATCTCTCTAGTAGAAACCATGCTTTTACTTAGGAACGCAGACCACTTTCAGAGAACTAACGTTTACAGAGTTAGAAAGACCGCCCAGCACTCTCCGAAGCGCCAGTTCGCATCAAATGCTCAAAACCAACATGATAATCGGGCAAACGACGACGCGAGGGCTGCGGCCCGGCTGGGACCCCGCAGGGCGAAGGGCAGTGTCTGGCTCCCTGCTTAGTCCCCCTCCCGGAGCTCCCGAGACCAATGTCAAGGTAAACCAAGTGCTGGCCACGACGGACGGACGGACGTGGCGACGCCCTGGGAGGCGCGCACAGGTTCCCAGCCCGCGGGAGCGCGGGTGTCCCCCCCGGGCCGCTTCCGTTTGGCGCCTCGGCCCCTCCTCCGCGGCTTGCCCTGCCCCCACGGCGGCGGCCGGCCCCGGGGCGCGAGGAG